TGAAAATCAGCTCATGTGGCTCCCCGTTTCTCATGGCTAGTGCCCCTAGCGCACGCTGTAGCGTGCGTAGCCGCCTGGTCAACTATACGGCCGATCTTACGATTCGTAAAAGAAAGAATCATCCGCAGCAAGAGTATGGTGAGAGTCTACTTCAAGCATAGGACGACCGACAGACATATTTTTTAAAAACTCTACGCTTAACGCTCCAAGGGTGAAATCAGTTGAAATAACAACACTCTACAACGTGTGACATTACAATAATGAACTCTGTGGGGAAATAAAAGACCAGGTGGGCCGGACACCGAGTTTCAAAACTCATTGACGACCCCCAGTGCGATGGTCAGACGTCTTCACGAAAGCTGTAAACGAAAGGAAAGCTCTTCCTCGTGCTTGAGTGAGCACGATCTACTGGATCACACTCGCTTGAGATAGATAGGAATGGAAAGGTTACTGGTGTCCGCTTGAGGAGATCGATGATCAACGAGGAGGCCATACACATTGAGGGTGTGTCATACACAAACCTCTTCAATGATAAAAAAGAAAGAAGAAATGCGGTCAGAGTTCTGGAGAGAAAAAAGACGTACTGAGGCTGTAACTTCTGATAGCGCTTCAATCTTCGAATTTTCACCTTAGCTTGGAATGACATTGTGATATTGCTCCATTCGAGTTCACGAAATGTTAGTCAGAGAATCCAACACGACACATACGAAAATGCTTATATGATTCTGCTCTACCATCATTTTTCACAAGAACGTTGATTACATAGTCGAGCAGAAAATATGTGAGGATTGAAATTCTTGGAATTAGAAGCTCATACCCCTCCGAGCAAGATTAAACAGGAATTGAAAATGGCATTGGAACAACAAAACGCAATATAAAATTATATTGCGCGAGGGATGACATTCACTATGACATTCTGGATCAATGCTTGGAAAGGTTTTAGCCAGAACATGTACGCCAAACCTGCATGCCAAAATCTACAGAAAGACGATCATGGACTACTTTGTACATAATTCCC